AGTAAAGATTTTCTCACGCTTTGTCTAAACGTTGTTGATACTGCTTTAAGAGTTGATACCAGCTCACCGCCTCAAAAACAATGCCCACCATATTCAACTGAGCCCGTATCATGGGGGTTAGTTTGAGGGAGGAGAATGAATGCAGGAAGCATTCTTAAAAATGTGGATGTTTGCTGAAACAAACTCGGTTCCCAATATTCTTCAAAATTGAAGCATTCAAGTTTCAATTTTGTTGTAAGTGCTTGCTTTGGATTTAACAGCCTGATTTTTCTAAAATAATTGATAATTTCAAAAGGTGTTACTTAATGATAAGTGGTGCAAGCTGCCAATAGTTGTACTACCACATCAAAATACTTCATCAGTTGAAAAATATCTTCTTTGAGGCTTTATAGTGAATAAACTGTCAAAAATGCTCATCAAGACTTTTATAAACATTGGTCAAGCGAAAAAAGAATTATCCAGAGTACGAAACAATAATCATCTAAAGAAATTTTTTTATGCTGCATAATTGATCTGAACTGTAAGCATTTTTAAAGAACTGCTACCATAATTCGATTTATTAGATTAGGCAGCAGAAAATCATTCTTACGATTTATAATGAACATTTTAACCATTTTTTTTTTTGTTTAGGTCATTTATGTGCTCCCAGAAGTCCTAACGGTGTTATCACGGAGCAACGCGGGAGAGCATTCAACTAGAAGTTCACTCCTCCTTCCGTACCAATGTTGCATGTTGGACCAGAGCTGGCGTCAAACCTCAGACCTCTGGGGTCTGAGCCAGAACTCTAACCACTGCGCTACGGCTGCTCTTTTTATTTACTCTATAAAATTTAAGGTTACTTTATAAAATTCTTAGAAATACTTGTTGACAAGCAATTATCTTGGCTTCGTCATATTAAATATTTACAATCAAAAGTTAGTAAAACAGTCGGTGCACCGTTTTCTTATGTTAATAGTTATGTCTTAAATTAATTTACTTCTTTTTTATGCATTGTTTATTATAGTAATATTTTTTTTTCTTTTGTTCTTCATTACATGTTTTAAAATACAAACGTTTAATTACCAATATAAAAGAGAAAAATTGAGCTTGATAAAGTTAAGAATAAATATAAAGAACGCGGACACTCTAAGAATGTCACAGAGAACCGCTGTTGAAACTTAGACATTTCTTTCGTTATAGTTTTACGTCACTTACTTAAAGGTGCTTGCAACGAAATTACATAACCTTCCAAACGATTGTCTCATGCGACTTTTGTCTGTGATTTTTATATAAATTTCACTTTCTCAAAATCAAAATATATATGGTCAAGTAATCTTCATTCAATGATTATTATTTGATATTTCAATTGAGTTTTTTTACTTTATTTTCTATATCTACGACTAATTTCTCCATGATTTGCATGTTTTTTGTTTTTTTTAAAGTATATGTACAAGGTCAACGATAAAAGTATAAATAATTAAGATGTTTAATATTGATCTTTATTGTATTGATAAATATTGATCAAATACTTGTAATGTAATATCATGTTTTTTCTTCGTCTGTAATAATGCTAACTCTTCTGTGATACATCTGTACAATGCTACTCTTCTGGTATAAAGATTTATGAATATGCACATACACATACAAACGCACACACAAATATACATACACACATCCAGATACATACGTTCACGTATCACATCCACGTACAGATATCCAGATACTTACATACATAGATACATACATAGATACATACATAGATACATACATACATACATACATACATACATACATACATACATACATACATACATACATACATACATACATACATACATACATACATACATACATACATACATACATACATACATACATACATAAACCCATTAATACATACATACATACATACCCACATGTATACATACATACATACATACATACATACATACATACATACATACATACATACATACAAACATACATACATACATACATACATACATACATACATACATACATACATACATACATACATACATACATACATACATACATACATTTATGCATACATTTATGCATACATACATGCATACATACACACGTATACATACATACTCATATGTATATATATCCATATACACTTAAACATATATATATATATATATATATACACATATACATACACATACATACACACACATATATACGTATAGGGGAGAGTCGGGTAGCCCCGGACACTTTAGGAAAATGTAGATTGTACACATGTGCTAACATAAAACAAAGTGTCAAAAAACTTTTTTTAAAAGCTGAAACATTCATCCATCGAATTAGAAACAAAAAAATAATTATTGTGTATCTTAATAATATACAAAACATAAAAGAAAAAATGTTAGAAAAACAACATGTTTTAAAATTGGAGGGTAGCCCCGGACACATAGTTTAACCATGATTTTACTTCTTTTTTACCATTGTGACACAAATTTAATATATAATAATTTAGCATTAGACTGTTCTCGAAACATTTTTTAAAAAATTGTCTTTAAAAATTGCCACCGATATATAAGGAATGAGAATGAAAATGTCATCATTTTAAAATATAAACATAGGTTTTTTTTATAATGGAAATAAACCCTTTAAAAACACTTTTTTCAAATCTAATGTTTTTTTATCGGAATTAAATTAGTTACTATTATAGATTTGTACATTATATTAAATGTATTAATATTTATATTAAAAAAGTTGTTTATTATTATTATGTAAACGAAATAAGTTGTCCAGAGCCACCCTCCAATCATGTGTCCGATACCACCCGATCATACCTCATTCATACTAGTTTTAAAACCAGTGAATTAAAGTTTTAAATGAACTTTTTTTTTAATAACTATTGTAAATAAAAATGTATCTTTAATCATTAAAAAGTTATTAGTTTACATAACAATTAGGTATATTATTATGTGAATCAAATATGATGATACGTCGCTCTTCTGGTGGTGGGAAACAAAATCTTGCCCTCCCAGTCATTCGCTTCGGCATATTATGATAGATATTTTGCATATGCCTTATTTTCACTCAAATAATGTTATTATAGTATTAAAAGTCATATAGCTTCTTTAGTTTAAGTTGTACATCAAGTGTCCGGAGTTACCCGCTGTCCGGGGCTACCCGACTTTCCCCTACATATACTTTTTGTTTTTGTTTTTTTTTGTTTTACAATTTAGAGAGTTCCTAGCACATATACAAAATAAGAAATGTGTACACATGGCAAATAATACAAGTTCAAATAAAGATCATAAACTAGCGCAGCAATTGTATTTACATTTAAAGTCGTTCAGTATAATAGCGTAAATAAAATAAAATAAATTTACGCCAAATATTGTAGTCAATGCATCAACTTTTAATTATATTCAAATAAATGTATATAAATAGTAAATTTAAATTAATATTGAATAAAATAAATCAAAATTTAGGTATTTAAGAGCTAAGTATAATTTAAAAGTATGTAAGTATATTATCAATTGAAATAATTACTTCTTTAAGTTTTCTCATATAAAAACGCACTTGCCTAAGAAACAAAAGATCCGTGGTTCAAACCCACCTCTGGGCACGTTTTGCGACATCGGTTAGGAAAGAGGCATGAACTTCCAATTAAATGCTCATCCGCGGTGCTCTGTGATAAGACCGTAGGGACTTCTTGGGGCACTTAAATAAATTAAATAAAAAAAAAAAAATAATAACTCCACTTATGAGAAAAAAACAAATTTTTTAACACAATATTGTTCCATAAGCAAGCTTTGCAAAATGAAAAACAGGTTTTACTGAAGTTAGTTTGGATAATTGGTTGTTTTATAGAATTATAACTTCTTAAAGAATATTTATTTTCTTTTAAAGAATATAAATCAAGAAAGGGGGTTGGAGAAGAGTTGGTTTTACACTTGAACATAAAACAAAGAACATAAAAAACATTTACTTGATATATATTAGGAATATTCATATTAGTTAAGAGTGTAAAAACAAGTGAGTGAGTCAAACAATCTTTGAAATTTATAAGTCGTTTAATGTGCTTCTGTTGACAATAAAGTAGTTTTAAATTACTTTTGTAAGCGCTTCTCCCCAGGAATGTCTCATTCTACTGGTGTTTTTATTCTCGCACTATGAAAGATTTAAAAATTTGCACACCATATAAGTGGCGTTCTTAAGTCAGCTAGGTTGGCATTATCAGAATCCGTGCTAATCCTATATTACTAAAGATTTTATGGAAAAAACTTTGGAAATATTTACTTTTAAAAAGTATATATTTAAATATTTACTTTTTAAACATGAAAGCCATATACCATATTATTCTCTTAAATTAGGCACTTATTTTTGGAGCTGTCTGATTTAAAATGTTCTGTCCTCAAACTCTTGTGCTTTTGAAAATCTTAAACCGCGTTCTTACAAATAGTATACATAGTATAGGCTAGTAAAGATAGTATAGTTTCTGAGTTGTTATTCATTATAGTTGCCAGTTTAGAGTTATTATTAATTGTACTAGACAGTTTCAGAGTTATTATTAATTATACAAATTAATAAATGAAAAATTAGGCAAAAGTTATTATAATAAAAATATTTCAGTATAAAATGTGAGGAATTGAATATAGCCCTTTTCCTGTGTATGTAAAACCCACAAAATTTATTTAAAGACAATATAATTTCTAGTAACAATATAACGATTTTTTATACAAACAATTATTTAACTGATTTATTCTTAATTTTAAAAGTTATACATTGTTCTATATTAATAACGTCATTTTATTTTAATAAAATTCATTCAAAATATCATTAAGTGTTATCTAGTGAGTTTCGGCGTATACAAATATTATAAAAAATTTTATTATGATAATATATTTTAAAACCATCATTAAAAATAGAGCCAAATGGAAACAGTTGTAATCCTTACTAAACTATTTATTGGGGAAATTTAATACGGGTGAGAATTTTTCTTAAAACCTAAAAATCCACCAAAACAAAAACTCCAAAACTACAGCAAAATAAATATATTTAGAAAATAAGAATTAAATTAACTAACACTATAAAGCAAAATTGTGCAACAAAAACTAGAAGACTATATTGAAAATTAGAATATTAAATAAATATAAAAAGGTACAGCTATACTACAATTATTAGTTATTGATAGAGAAGCAAAATATTAGTTGCTGATAGAGAAGCAAAATATTATTTATATATCATACATGGTATAAATATTTACATATTTGTTTTTAATTTATTCAACTAAAAAAAAACAAAAGCATTCGAAATAAGAAAATTGCAAAGAACAAAAGGTCAACACTCAACATCACTTGAGCTCATAATAGAGTTGTATACACCAAACGCAGCCATCAAACAGCAGAGAACTATTGGGCCAATAAAAGCTCCCTCAAGTCCAATACAATAAACACCACCGGCGATCGATAATGCTGTTAAATAAGGATGTCCTCCAGCTAAACGAGTTTTAAAACAGTATAAATGTTTTGTTTCATATTTATAAACCGTGACTATAATAGAACAGTACTATGGTAAATAGAACAACATTATGGTAAATAGCTCAATACAGTAAATAGATCAATATGGTAATTAGATCAATACTATGGTAATTACAATTAAGTAAAAATATAAATAATAAAAAACATGCTAAAAAAAAACACATTAAAACAGACAAACGTTACAGTATGAGAAAAAAAACACAAAATACAAAAAATATAAAAAATAAATCTAAAGTTTACACAAACTTTTTTTACCTATTTCACTGTAAATAGCAGTGTCTACAACATAAGTCGGAAGCAAGTGAAGACCAAACAAAATAATAGCAAGTATTCCTTGCTCTTGAATGAGCCATAATTCTAATGTAGCTGGGACAGCTGCCCAATAAGTTCCAATAAAAGGAACAACGCCAAGAGAAGCAGCAAGAGCTAAAAAATAAATAAAAAGAATTACACTGAGAATAAATTGAAAATTCAAAATTAAAGTGCGAAAAAATAAAAATGCGGCTTTAAAAAAAAAAGGAATCAAAAAGAAACCAACAGAAACATTTAAAAAAACTATTAAAAACAACTTTTTTAATTTTTTTCAAACTATTAATTAATTTTTATGGATTCTTTTATTTCACTAAAACACTGTTTCACAGGAAACATTATTGCAAATGACAGAAAGCACTTTATTGTGTAACACAGAAGGCACCGTGTTATGAAACATAGGTAACACAGGGTTATTAAAGAATCTATATATTTATGTGTTATGAATCATAGGTAACACTGGTAATGATAGGGAACAGTGGTAATGATAATGACATATGTAACACTGGTAATAAACATTGGTAACACTGGTAACAATAGGTAATGTGTTATGAAACAGGTAACATTGTGTTATGAAGCATAGGTAACACTGTTATGGTTTTATAAAAAAAAGTTTTTTAAGTTTAATAAAATTTTATGCTTAAATATTATTAGATTTTAATATTTTAGTATTTATTAATATTAAAAGTTTTTTATTCAATTAACTTATTTTATACATTTTTTAAAATTTCATTTCAAACTTTTTTAGAAATATTATATTACTTAAAACTTAATAATTTTAAATTTTTTTTTAAGGATAGGGGTGGTTCTGGGTGTTACACAAATAGGCGCACTAACTATTTTAGTTTATAGTAAAGAGATAATGAGTACTTGTCACCAAAACACAATGTGATTTATTTTATGACTAAGGATAAAAGATAAAATGTGCTAGTCTTATACTTTTCAAAAAAACATTTATTTTTAACCTTTTCAAAATACACTTAACTGTACAATCTTAATGATGAGGAAAATGATAACTAGATCAAAAAACCAAAAAATGTTTTTTTTATTCTTTATTGCCACGAAAACACGTTTTTGTTGCTAAACAAAATTTTATACTTTGTTCTTTATTATTATAGATAATATTATTTATGTGTTTTTATAATTTTAATATAAAGTTTTAAATTGCATATACAAGTGAATAATTTAATGTTTTACTGATATATTTAAATGCTTCTCCTTAAAATAATAATTGAAAATTTTAATTTGAACTTTTGTTCTTTTTTCTGTAATTTTCTGCAATTGAATATCTTCTTTATATAAAGTTTTCCATAAATATTTGTACTTTCAATACTTGGTGTATTTCAAGAACAACAAAAAGTACAACATACAAAAAAACACAATTTTTAAGCAACATCAAAAGTTCTTATGCAACAAATGATTTTTAAATAAAACAGTTCCATAAGGAAAAAGTAGAATAAAACTACAGTTGCAGCTATTTTTTAATGAAACAGTTGCAAAAGAAAGAGAGCAACCCATCAATCGAACACTTTAAAACACATCAATTGAACACTTTAGAAAAGACACAAGTCTAAAACCTTTAACAGTTAAAAATTTAAGTTAAAAACATTTGTATGATTTTTTAAATAATAAATAAAAATTATATTTTTACTCCTATACTAATACTTGTTTCTCTAGCATAATTTTTTTTATATTACACCATAAGCATTTATTTCAAAAGAAATTTTCTCAATTGAATGAAAACACCTTTCTACTTTATAAAACAAAATCTTCTTTTTAATGTCCTAGGTTAACCTTATTGATTGCGTAAACACTTAACATAAGTATCTCTAACATAGATGGCAATTATGTGACATTTCTAGCGGCATTCAAAATTCAAGGCTTAAAAAATAAAATATTAACTATTCAGCAAGGCTCTATCAAATTTACAAAGCAAAAGTGGGCCAGAAAATGGCTCATGGGAAGCTAGTATGTCAAATCAGCCCCTTAATACAAAACATTTTCAAGTTTTTCAATCTGGGCGTATATATTTATAGCAAAAAAGTAAGTATAGCAAAAAAGACTTTTAATTGTTAAAATAAAGTTTTGAAGTTTTTGCTAGCTACGGGCTATTTACTTTTTTTTTTTGCCTCCACAGTAGGTGGTGCTGGAGTAGCAGGATGGGCTTAATATTTTTTATTTGATTAAGTTTCAGACCATAATTTTTTCTTTTAGACTATCTGCAGCTAATTAGGACTATTTACCTAAGCATATTAATAACATAACTATCTTGACATATGTGCAAAAAATTTTTACTGGTGTTTTGCTGTTTTTAGAAATTTTTTTACTTTTTTAAAAATTCTCTTCCTTTCAATTTTTACAGTGTATAACATCTTTACATATTTATTTACATAATATCTATAAAACTTCAAAAGTGTTTTATTTTGTATTTTAGAAAAATCTAAAAAAAAACACAAATGTTTCAGTGGTAGGATTCGTATCACAATACTTTGCTTATAAAGCTCTGTGATCTAACCACTCTGCCACACAGGCATGAGGGAGATTTTTAAACTATTTAACATACAAAAGAATTTATAAAATGGAAATGAATACATTAAAATTAAGGAGATGTTGCTGCAATGCAGCTTTCAAGTGAAAGTAAAACTGTAAAAGTTGTTATATGTTTTAACATTACATAGTACAGTTTACATAAATAGATATTTGCATACACTTTTGTTTACATTTTCTTATTAAAAAAATGTAGCTACTCTTTCTTGCCACTGCATTGGTTGCCAAGAGTTCTGCATCAAACATGCTCAAAAGGGCACTACTACTTTTAAGTTCACCATTTTTATATAGATACAACTCAAAGAACTTAAAAGTATTTAAAAGCACTACTCACAGTAAACATTAAGAACACTACTATAAATATAGAAATTTTTTTTTATAAATATAAATTATGTTATCTAAAAGCATAATTTGAATACTAATTGTTGAGTAATAACAAATACTTACACAAATGAATTGAAATATAAATGTTAATGTTTCTACGGAACCAATAAAAATAACTAAATGTAAAAAGATGTTTAGATGTTATTGGGAAAGAAGGAACAACAACTGGTAACTTAGCTAATAAACTGTTTCACAAGAAATCAATCAGAGATCTAATTAAAGAATAGTTAACAATATACAACACAATATGGATATTGCAAAAGGATGGTAGAATTTAAATTACTTGAGCCTATACTTAGTTCAGCCAAAACTGAGCAAGGAGCAAAATAATTTTTTGTTGGTTTTAACAATTACTCATTAAATAATGAGTACAAAAAATATTCTACTTTCATAGAAATTTTTGAAAATTATTTTTATTTGCAAATGAAGGGAATATTGAAAATTTGTAATTATGAAAAGTCATTAACCTGAACTCTTTATGATATTTGTAAAATGTTTTTTTAATATAAAAATTAAATTAAAAAACTTCAGTTTTAAATCACAATTAATTTATTAGCTTACTTTATTTTTTTCTAAAAATTGAATTGGATTTGTAAAATAAATAGATATACAATATATTGTTGATGCTTTTAAGAACTAACTTTCCTCTTCAATATAAATCATTTAAAATGATTAAAAATTATATAACTTAGTAATCTTATCCTGATCTTGAAATTTTCATAATCTCAAGTTTTGAAATTGTAAAAATCAGGGATGCGGAGTCCCAAAAGGACTTTGGCTTTATATCTCTGCTTTTTCCAAGTCTGTAGTGTCCAGAAGCTCTAAACATATTTATTGACTTATGATCTGCTATAAGAAAAAAATTCATGAAATTTAATGTCTTGAAACTTATTGTTTTTAAGTCCTGGAGTACCGGAGTCCTTGCCGTCATACCTATGGACTCTGGGTTCAAAAAATGATTGTTCCTCTAACCTAAAAGTTTTAATTTTTTTTCTATTAGTAGCCCATAAACTTATATTTTTAGAGCTCTTGGATACCAAAACTAGGTTGAAGTAATCTTTTTGTGACTTTCAAATCCAGAGTCCTTTTAGGGACTCCGCATCTCTGGTAAAAACCAACTATTAAAAAAAAAAACTTTTAGGAATAAACTACTAGTAAACAATTAATAAAATAAATTAAATTTCTAGACCATTCTATTCCTTTAAAAAAGTTCATTAAATAGAATGGTGTAAATGAGTTTTAACTTAAGGATTTTTTACAACTTTGATTTTGAGTTGCTTATTTTACTTTTTTGATTACCTAATTTTTAATGTTTACAAACTACTTTATTTTTGAGTGCCTTTTTACTACTTTCATTTTGGCATGATATTTTTACTAATTTCATTTTATGTACTATTTTTACTACTTTAATTTTGGAGTACTTTTTTTACTTTTTTAATTTTAGAGTGCTTTGATTTAGAGGTGCTTTTTTGTGAGTTTTGTTTTTGGGTGCTTTTAACAAATGTAATTTAAAGGTGCTTTTTTTTTAAATACATGTTTTCACCACAAGAAGTACACACATAAAAAACAATTTTTTTAAATACATGTTATCCACAAGAAGTACACACTTAATAATTTTTTCTTTTAAATTCATGTTATTCACAAGAAGTACACACTTGAAAAATATTTTTAAACACATGTTATCCACAAGAAGAACACACATGATAAAAATTTTTTTTAATAAATGATTACCAACAAGAGGTGCACACTTGATAAACAATTTTTTTAAATTTATGTTATTCACAAGAAGTACGCATTTGATAAACAATTTTTTTAAATTCATAATATTCACAAGAAGTACACACTTGATAAACAATTTTTTTGTAACATAAATAATTGTGCATCAAAAATATATAAATGAATGAAAAAATATTTTTTACCCTTTTGAATTTTTATTATTAAACTCAAAGATAATAAGGATGTTTTGACAACATTTTACATGACAGCTGTAATATAATGATATAATAGTGCAAAATGAATAATGGAAGCAAAATATCAAGTCTATCTTATGAAGAATAGTTTACAATTTCACTTAATTCTGTCAAAATTGTAAAACAAGCAGCATTTATTTTTATTTTTAACTTTTTAAAAATAACAGCTCTTTGCAAACATAAAATAAGGTTTTGAAGTTTTTTATACTTTATTTAGTTTTGTTGATTGTGTACTACTCTTTATTTTTATAACATAACTCAATTATTCCTGTTGATGAACTTTAAAGTGCTTGTACCAGTCATACCCAAGTGCATGTACCAGTCATACTTAAGTGCATGTACCAGTCATACTCAAGTGCATGAACCAGTCATACTTAAAAGAATGTACCAGTCATTCTTAAGTGCATGTACCAGTCATACCTAAGTGCATGTACCAGTCAAACTTAAGTGCATGTACCAGTCATACTTAAGTGAATGTACCAGTCATACCTAAGTGCATGTACCAGTCATATTTAAGTGCATGTACCAGTCATACTTAAGTGCATGTACCAGTCATACTTAAGTGGTACAAAGAGTGTACCAGTGGTAATAATTTCAATTCAATTAGTACGATGAGCGTTAAAAGTACAAGCAGCAACTTGGCAAATAAAGGGAAAGGACTCAATTTAAAATAACATCTAAATAACACTCAATTTGAAATAACATCTACATAAACATAGTCTTGAGATATAGGAAAATAAAGAGCATATCAAAGATGATAATGATAAGTGATATCTTTGCAAATCAAAGCATAATAGCCATTAACTAAGATTTAAGGATAAAACATTCAAATGTAAAGAACAATTGTAAACATTCAAATACAAAGAACAAGTTGGTCTTGTAAATTTTTCAAAATGTAAAATTCTATGGGTGAAATGATACTTTGAAGACCACATTTATTTATAAAAGATAGATTGAAAAAATATTGTGGTGATGATGGTTTAAATGGAGCAAACTCATTATTAAACTTGTTTAACCATTAATAGTAATAGTTAATGCACACCAAAAGCATTTCAGACAACAGATGCACCATCATTCACAAAGTGGTACAGTTAATACACTAATATTATATAGCTGTTGATAGAATCAGCTATTCTGGAAACCTTACTACCAGCTGGCCTGAAAATAACATAACTGAACGTTAGAGCTGTACTCTTATTACGGCAATAAGAGTTGCATAGCTACTATTAAAGAGACACAAACAAGGTATGCACCACACAAAGAAGGTATACATCAACACCAGCTTTTTAAAGGAAAAAATGTGCATAGCATAGTGAACATAAATTTTCTGCTTATCGCTAAAGTTTTTACTTAGAAGGTTTTCTACATGACAGTAGCTTGGCGCAAACTTTACAACAACCATCATAAAAACTCATTTTTTCTTTTTGTACACACCATATTTGTTTCTGTTAGTATCGACATTTTGCTTTTTTGAGATAACTCTCGGGATACAACAAAATTTTATTCTTGGCCCTGCATTTTTTCTCATATTTACTACTAGTCTTCCTAATTACCTCTATTTGCTGATGACACTACTATATACCAGCCTCTACTTGCTGATGATACTACTATATACATTGGATGGCATTTTAAAAATTTTTTTATACTGAGTAATCATTTCTACTGAGCGGTTAATTATTATTTTTTTTTGATGAAAATATTGTATTAGCAGTTTTGCATTTTTAAAGAGATCCCCAACTGCTCAGACAAGTTGTTTTCTTCATTTTTCGTTTCGGTATATGACGTCATTGTATAAATTTTTCCTTTCAAAATGTTGTATTATTTTTTTTTTTTGCCACAATCACTAAATCATGTTAATTTTAAAACTTTTTACTAAATCCCCAAAAAAAGTTTATGATGAAATTAAGAAGTAAATTTATAAAATTTTTAAAAATAAAAATTTATTATATAACAAATATTTACAGTAAACGTACTGGTTTAAATTAAATATAAACTAGATACTAAAAGAATAATTTTACTAAAGCGTATAAGTTAATTTAAAGTATAAACTGAATAAAAAATGAGTGACTTGAATAAAACATATAAACTGAACTAATAACCGTTCAAATCAAACTAAATTAAATATTTGTACTAAAATATACAAAAAATAGTTATAATGTAAATATAAAAGCAAAGAATCGCATTAAATTGTTCGCTACCAGCCGAACAAAAATCTTTTTGTAGCAACTGCACATTTTTTTGAATAACATTTGAATAGTATCACATTGACAATTATTTAAAATTTAATAATAATAGTTTTTAACATGCATCATTTTTTGTGATTTAGTAATAAGTTATAAAAACATTTGATTTTCTGATTGTAGTAGAGTAAAAAATACTTATATCTTTAAAAAAAACAACAAAAAAAAAAACGCTATCTTAAAAAGATATTGCAATGAGGTCATATACCAAAACTTTTATGAATTAAACACGCATGGAATAAATTATCAAGTCTGCAGATTGCGGCTAACATTAAACAGACTCCGAGATCCAAAAAAAATGGAGAAGGCAAGCTTCAACTATAGCGTGAATTTTAAATTTAATGATGTGCATTCATTATATAGTTTTAATCAAAAAAATTAAGCCCAAATGTTTTTTTTTAAAATTTTCTTCAATATGAACACAACTTGTCTCGGCAGTTAGGGATCCCTTTAATAAAGTGATCCTTCAATTCGTTATTGTATTTTTTGAGTGAAAAATCTATATTACTTTATAAATTTCATTGTAATTTTTGATACAATTTTAGTAATTTCACATTTGAGAATTTTCCTTCTATAGTCAAGGAAAAGAGATTAAGTGGAGTATATGTTAAAAATCAACAATTAATATTTTTTTTAAGATAAAATTAAGATAAAATAAATAGTCAGCAAAATTGTCAGCAGAAAAGTTTTTAAACATTTCAAAAGATTCAAGATGATGGATATGTATTGATGATGATGATGATGGATAAGTGTTGATGATGATGCTATTTATAGATTCAAATAAAAAATAATAAAAAACTCAAGTTGACTGTGTATTCAAACATTACATTTTAGTAAACTTTTTAACGCACATGTAAATACTTTATCACTTGTTTTGAGTGCTTATTAAGATGTTTGCAAAAAAAAAAAAAAAAAAAGTGGATTTCTAATAACTTTTTTTCTAAGTTTTCTTAATAAATTTTTCATTGTTTTTTTACAAGTGCATTTTGTTTGTAAAATAATATGATAAAAAGTTGCAAAAATTTGAAATTTTTAAATTGTCATCAACAAAATAAAAGAAGCACTTGTTATTGATATTGTGAACCAATCAGAAACTATTACTAATATTAACTTATAAACATACTTTTAGTTAGTATCAAGTATTTTACAAATACTGTTAAAAAGTACCTTGGCTATATAAAAGTAAAAACTATAAAATGGCTACAAAAAAAAATAGCTTAGTGTTTTTTGCATTCAATGAATGAAATTTGGAAATTTTTTTGAAAGATTTTTTTGATTTTAAAACATGACAGAGGAAATTATGTTCATTTTATTTGTACTTTAATTAAATTTTGTTAATTTTGATGGCAACAGAGACAACGAAAAATAATGTCAAGGGTGACAAAAGGATGTCGAAGGTGACAAAAGGGTGACAAGGGTGACAAAAACAATAAATGCAGGTAAACTTTCTTATAAAATTTTGCAAGCCAGCAAAATAATCAGCCTTTGACTTGTGAAATCCTGGTTAATTATTTATTATACTTTCAATTTTTTTAGTAAAATATTACATAGTTAAACTCACCTGCAGGAATAAAGACTAACTCAGCACCAAATACACTATGTGTTAACCAAGTATAAAAACCGTAAAATGCTGCCATTTTAAATGAAGCACCAAAAACATCTCTAATAGCAACATTGATTGACTCTCCAAGTTGAGTACCCATGCTTACACTATTTAACCATTCATCCAGCTTATATTGTTCAGATGAGGCACTGAGCAAATAAAACAATGAGGTAGCAAAGATAACACATGATATAACAGTGTTGAGAAGATAGGTACCACTGAAGAAAACAACAGATATAATTTGTGTGAAAAGAGAAAACATTAGTGTCATATTTCCTTTTATGATAACCCAAAGTGAGTCAGATAGCTAAAAAAGAGATATTAAAGAAATATAAAAAAAAAAATTTACATATGGTTTTAACAAAATATTTTTTAAATGTGGAAAAATAACTAGTTGAAAATAAGGAATAAAAAAAAATAATAAAAAAAAAAAAAAAAAAAAAGACATTAAAAAAAGAAAAACTTTAACTATGCTTGTTTGCTAGCAAAGTCTACAATTAGCTACTAGTATTATTAAAATCTACTACTAGACAGGATTATCCAGGTTATCAATATTTAAAAAGTTTTTTAAAAATTTCTGTTTCAAAGTGGTTTTATATTTTTTAACTATTGTTGTTGTTTATCATTTATTTATTTATTTTTAAAGTTTCATAGAATAAATACATCAATGCGTACATAAATTGTACGCATTGATGTATTTATTGTACGAAACTTTATTCTTATATCCAGTGTCACAGTGTACATACATCAACTGACTTAAATAGAGATAGATGTAGTGGAGTGTACATACATTGAATAATGGTTTAGTGTTTTACATAAAAGAAACTTTTCAATACATATTTAAATAGGGTTTATGAATTAATTTAATTTATATAAAAATATTATTTAATCAAATCACTTTAAATTTTTAGGCGAAATAGTCAAAATAATTAATAATAAATGTAGGGTAGATTAGGGTAATATGAGCACTTTAAGCGATAATTAATAATATTTTCAAAAATAATTATGTTGGATCCAAAATTTTTGAGAACAAGCAATTTTTAGGGATCCCTTCTCATGATCTACTTAGATATTTGGCACTAGAGTTTTTTTCTTAAAAACACAGAGGTTTTAAAAAAGTAGCAAAAGTGCTCATATTACCATAACCACTTGGTAATATGAGCACTTTAAATTAGCTCAAAAAAGTAACATTAGTTAAGTAAAAAAATACCAGCCTGACAATTAGAACTAATTTTTGGAATATAATGATTCGTTATAAACAAAACTTATCATTAAAAGATCAAATTTTAAACCACTTTTTGTTGAAACAATACTATGCTTTCCGAAAAAAATTACTTACTTTTTTAATTTTATTAACTCATACCTTTATTTGATTATTGAGCTTTATTGAGCAGCCATAACACAGTGGTAGTGCACTTGCCTCAGAAACAAAAGATCTGTGGTTCAAACCTCACCTCTGGGCAAGCGTTGCAACATCGGTTAGGAAAAAGGCATGAATTTCCTACAGGGCTCAAATTAAGCGTATCGCGATCGTGAATAGCAATTGCTTTTCACACCTTCGCAATTAGTTTTTTCCTAAAAAAAATATTTTTGCGATTTGTTTTTTTTTTGTTTATTTACTTTTTTTCTAGTTTAGCATTTTTTTTGGCAATTCTTAAAAGTATTGTTTTTGTTATAAAGTATGTCATGCTAAATTTATCTTCTGAATAGATGATCATTTGCCCTTTTGCGCAGAGATTTTTATTTGAATTTATATTACTTTAAACCCCTACCTGGAAGCCAATAATATTTAAAAGGTCATTAAAGGGAAAATTGAAAAGGGAAAAGGCGTTAAAGCGAATTTATTCTTCATCCTATTTTTTTTTAACAAAACAGGTTTTTATCTTTGTCTTTCAAAACGTTGCATCAAAAAAAATGACTATTTATGGTAAAACTAATCATGAAAATGATTTTTTTAATGGTTTATTTTAAATACATAATCAAAAAAATTGCTTAAATGATTCCACTTTTTTTTAGGGTTCGGCAAATGCATCCGCGCAGATCTGCGCAGACATAATATGTGCATATCTGCGCAGACTTCTGCAAAGACAGTTTAAAGAATACGAAAAATTTAAATTATGATAAACAAATTACTTCAGACATTTGATTCAGATAATTTAATTATCTGAATCAAATGCCTGAAATTAATTATTTTTTTAAATTTAATTTCAGACAATATTTAATAAAATAATTTCAGACATTTTGAAAAACTCGTAAAAAGTAGGTAATTATCTACTTTTTACAAGTTTTTCATTACTTGTCTGTTTCTTTTTTGTTCGAGCTACATATAATCAATCGATATAAACTTTTTAAAGTGTTTCTTACTTCAATTTAAAGTGATTTAAAATATATATATATATCTGTGTTTAAAATGGAAAACATCAAAATTTCAAATTATTTGACAAATCTTGATCGAGGGAAGCGTTCTGGCACGCTCATGGAGTCAACTTGCTTGTGAAGGACAAAGTTTCTACAATTTAGGTCACAAAAACAGTCAAAGATGCAGAGAAAATCATCAAATATGTGAAAAATCATCACATTGTGAAAGCAAAGTTTGATTAAAGACAAATTGCAGAAGGTTTATATTTAAATGAAGATAAAACCGATTTTATCACTGCTACAGTTGAATTCGCCAAAAAGATCAAACCTGAAATTGCTGCCACTGCTGAGGATGAATTGATTGCTTATATAGGAGAAATTTCTGTGCTGCCTAAGAGAAGAAAGGAAACGATATTCAAGATGAACTCGCAAAATTATTGGAACATTATCGGTCGCGATAAATATCCTGCTCTTTATGAAATTGCTAAGCCTATTAACGAAATGATCTGCTCATCGGCTACAGCAGAAAGAGCTTGGTCAACCTTTCGATTTATTCACTCGCGACTAAGAAATCGTCTTAGGAATGAGAGAGTTAAAAAGCTAGTATTCTTGTATACCAATAGCATGCTGACGGACACAAATGACAAGACTGATTACATTCTTGAAGAAGGTGCAATTCTCAATGAAATTGAATGTCAAGAAATCATCGAATAGGCGCCAGCATTATTTTTATTACTGTAAGAATCTTTGAAAACTCCTATTGTTACTAATCACTGAATTTATAATAAAGTTAAAAGATTACTTAAAACATTTTTTAAGTTTAAAACTTTTTTTGTTGATTTCAATAAATTGCCAGTAATAATAACATCTGCGCCGAGAGACGCACCTTAGTATATTTTAGCAGTAATAATAAATTTTGTCGATGCCGACATCTGTGCAGACAAATTACAATGTCTGCGCAGATTTGCGCATGTCTGCGCAGACAGTGCGAACCCTACTTTTTTTAAAGATATTTAAAGCAAGTAAATCAAAAACTTAAGAATTTAAAATTTTTATTTACTTTGTTTTTATTTTAATTGTTTTTAAATTTTTTTTTAAATTTTAAAAATCTTAAAAAATTAAAAAAGTATTTAAAAATAATCCAGAACATCTTTTTTAAATCTAATAATAATAACCAGCAAAAAAAATTTGGACTAAACCAAAATTTACCATAAGGGTTGCAGAGGAACACTATAATATAATGATTTTTTCATAATTAATAAAAAAACGCTAAAACTGAAAATTTGAGATCCCTGAGGAGGTATTGAACACACAACTCTGTTAGCCGTGTCTCAAAACTAGACGTCTATTACATCCACAGGCTACACTTTTATATCAATGAGGTGAAAAAAGGGTTTAAATACTTTTTTTGCATACAAATAAAGTTTTTGTTATGTAAACATTATTTGTACAAACAAAAATTAGTGATGTCACGAATATTCAGTGACTTAATAAAAAAGGCAATCGTTTAATCGTCTCAAAAGGCAATCGTTTAATCGTCTTTAAACCATGCTCTAAGTTCAGGTTGTTGTGAAAATAACTTTTTTATTAAGTTTAGAGTTTTTTATGCTAATTCAATCGATATTATTTTCTGAAATTACCTCAGAAGTGCAAGATATATCTGACCTGATTATTTTTCAACTTTTCTGAATGGTTTAAAGAGTACGAAACTTTAGGACATAACTTTAGTTATATATTTGGTGTATCACTCGAAAAATAATGCATGCTGTGGCACAACCTATTAATAAATGCCCACAGAGTAGTTAAGTTTTGCACTACAATGAAGCAGGTCGGAGCCCTCTATATAATTAAGTGTTGCAGAATATTCGGCCGAATATTCGTGGCATCTCTAGTAGAAATAATGACCTGCTAGAAATAAAATAAAGTTTACAAAAAAAAATCTCCCTACGGAGGACTTGAACCCAAAACACTATCACCTGTGCCTCAAAAGAAGAGCGCTACTACATATAGAGTACTACACAAATATATTGATGACATCAAAAATAAATATCAAATATGAGGACAAGTTAGTTGATGAAAAAGTCTGGCCAAGTGAAAGAAAAGATAAAAAATATATATTTAGAAAAATTAAACTAACAATCAAGACTTTAAATAATTTGTGTATGTACTATGTAACAACAACATTAAAAGTATATAATAAGTTAATAATGAGTATTGCATTAACAGCAACCCATGCACTTTTGCATTGAGACCCATACAAAGAACTTATTTGGTTTTAAAGGACTAAAAAAAATAAACGCATTATATGTCTTAAAAAACTCACAGAAAGAAGCATTTGAACATTTCCTTTGCACCAATTCCATAAATTTGCTAAATCGCTGGTAGAGAAAAGTGATTTTATTTTGCTTAACCGTGCTTTAAAAAAGTTAATATCTGTTTTTGTATGATTAGCTGAAAGTGAAGTAGACTTCTTTAAGGAAGATGAATCATTCTTTTTAGAAGATGCACTATCATTCTAAAAAAAAAAACTAATGTTAAACTAAGTTAAACTATTAACTTTGAAAAATATTAGATAAAGATTTGTGGACATGTAGCTAAGTCTATGAATAGTTACAATGTGAATTTTTAAAATGCTAAAATGATTTAACAAATAAAAAGACAATAAAAAAATGATTACTAAACAATATTTTATTTATACAAAATAAAATAGGGTTTGACACTATTTCTAGTGTTTGAATGTTCAAAACATTTGAATATGCAAATAACAATATTTTTTATAATTTATTAATTCAATAAAAATCTTTCATTTGTTATTCAATATTAAACAAAGCTGAAACCAACTTTATTAAAAATACAAATATTGATTCTTGTTCTAAATTTTAACTCCACAATTTAAATGTTAAAAATACATGTTCAATCTCTGCTGTTGTCAGTTTCACTTTAATGAATAAACTGTCTTATATATTGAATATATACTTGAATACACACACACACACATACACATACACAAACACACACACACACACACATATATATATATATATATAAATATATATATATATATATATATATATATATATATATATAT